CTTTCCGTTAGACATCCGTGCAGCACCCAGGCAGCTGAGCCGACGCTCGAGCCTGCAGAAGGCTGCCCACAGCAAGGTCTGCCCCATGCCAGCCTTCCAGCTTCCCACCAGAGAAAACCTCTTCTGGGGGTTGGGCCAGAGTTCTGCTGGCCGAATCCGTCAGTGGGTGTCATGGAGAATCAGTTTAACGCTCCTTAGGAGCCTACCGGTTCTGAAAGCAAATGAGGAAAGTTTCCAGACGCAGATGGAATAAATGAATGCATTTCCATTAAGTTCGCGTTTAGAATCCAGGCAGGCAAGCAACAAAGGCCACTGGGTCCATGTCCAGTCAGCACCTGGGTGACCTCTCGCCACCTTAGAAGCACCTGACCCCTTCCTGCCCAGGGAAGTGCCACCCGTGTAATTAGCTGACGCGTTCCAAGCCAAGTAGACTTTTCTGTTGCACTCTGTATCGTGGAGCTGGATGTGTGAGAAAACGGCTCTAACATGTCTTGTTTTAGAACTACCTCTGACCCACTCCGTGTGTCCCCGGTGCCCCATAAAACGCTCGCCTCCCAAGGAAGAACTTAATGAGAGTCGGCCGTAAATCACCGCATTTCACAGTCACGTTTGTTTACCCGGCACCTGACTTAAAACTGCTGGCTGACCTGGTCTGTCCTGAGCCGAGATGGCCAGGATTTACTTAGTGGCCCCCAGGTCACCAGCCCACTGTCCCCGCCCCGACCCTGGAGACCCCTCCCCGGTCTGATTGGGGAAGCAGGAATGGACTCCCCTAGCAAAACTCAGACCCACTGCTGCGTGGGCTCCTTCCCCAAGGACGGATGGAACCAGGTCCAAGGGCCACAGCCAGGTGGTCGCTTCCTGTTTCTGACAGCCAGCCTGCAGCCAGAGAGTTGAGACAAGCAAATAAGAATGAGCCTTCCCAGCTTGCCCATAGACATTCTGAAAGGAGGGAAATACCTCTTGAGTTGTCATTCTCTGGCATGGTTTTGCTGAAGATAACTGTTCATATGTGAAAACACAGCAGGATTGCCTCTGAAAGAGAGGAAGGGACATTAATGCTGGTAGCAATTTGCTTTGCTCATTGTGTTGCAATGGATTGGGATCCTATGGTCCTTGCCTCCCCCCGCCCCGCCCCTCATGTCCTCAGCCTGCCTTTTGTCTGCAGAAAACTTTAAAGAATAAGTTTAATTAGAAAAATGAGAACATGTGAAAATAAAGGAAAACAGTCAAAGGAGACCAAATAATAACAATGCAGTCATTAAACAAAGCCAGGGAAGTTCAGCTCCTTCTCGAGAGGTATAGAGGATGCTCTGAGCCATGGCTGTGGGCATGCTATTGACACTGCGGGCAGGTCTGCCTCCACTGGGGAGGGGGTGAGGGAGAAGGTTGCTCGGGAGTCTGTTCCCCAGACAGGGAGACTGCCCCTAGAAGGCAGCACCCTGCCAAGAGATGGCCTTGGGGGGCCCCTGCCGGCCAGACCCTCGGGGCAGCTCCCAAGCAGTCTCCCCCACAGTGGAGGTAAACCTGCCTTCAGTGTCAAGAGCATCCGTCTCCTGTCTTGAATGGAGGGTTCCCTGAACACGAAATGAAAACGAAATGACTCTTGAACTTCATAGTTCTGGTCTAAGGAAAGCTATTTTTGTTAGTCATTTGAGGATTATCTTGCATTTGAATATTCACTGAGTCTCCCAGGTGCTGCAGTGGGTAAAGAATCTGCCTGCAATGCAGGAAATGCAGGATACGTGGGTTCTATTCCAGGGTTGCAAAGATCCCCTAGAGGAGGACATGCCAACCCACTCCAGTGTTATTGCCTGGAGAATGGACAAAGGAGCCTGGTGGGCTACAGTCTATAGGGTCACAAACAGTCGGACGTGACTGAAGCGACTGAGCGCGCATGCACGTGTTTTGAATCTTATTCTGGAGGGAGAAACACAGGAGGCCAGCCAGCTATGAGACACAGCTCAAGGAGTGGCAGAGGGGTGACCCTGGACGTTGGCGGTAGATTACAAGCTTCCATCCTCCCGGGTAAAGGGATGAGCCATCACGGGGTGTGTGTTTATTTTTCATGATTATAACACGTGCCTCTAACTGGAAATGACCATCTGCCCTCCCCACTGACAGTATGAGTTAGTGGTATGATGTCAGGAGCCTCCTTGCGCTGGATTATCTTATTCAAGAAAAGCTGAACTACCTATCCCCCTTTCCAAAAAGAGAACCAGTTGGCCCATGAATCTGGAAAATGCAGGATGCAAGAAAAGTTCCCAGTCTCTTCCCAGAACTTCCCAGGGCTCCCTGGCACCCCTGTGCGCTATCAGCCTTGGAGAGAGAGCTGGGTGAGCATCCACCAGGGGGACGTCCTCAGACCACATACCCTGAACAGGATGGACCCTCAGGGAGAAGCCTTTGCACCTTCTGAAATCAGGGTGTCCACTGCTGCAAGTATGTCAGGGAGGCACTGCTCTGAGCAGTCAAGTGTCACCACTTTCATAGCCAGAGAGTGTTAAACTGTCTCTGTAGTGAGTGAGGCCGCCATTAAACTTGCACTCGGTTTCCACCAGTTCTGAGGCTTCTCATGTTCACACATCTTGGTGTTTAAAGATGTGCTCTGGGGCAGGAGTTAAAACATGATATTGATACTCCAAAATGCGATCTCAGCAGCTGATGAAGCCGCTGTGTTCATCGGGGTGCTGGATTCAGCAGAGATTCTCTTGCCGAGAAGCGTGTCTTCATGATCGTGGAATAAATTACTCCAAAACCGTGCTTATATTCAACTTGGTGACTCACCCTCATACTAACTATGGGAGCGGAGCAGAAAAACATCATCAAAATTCAGAGAAGAGGCCAAAAAGAGGGGCGAGCGATAAACGGAAAAATGCATAAACAAGGGAAGTTGGGTGTCCTAGGAAAACAGCTCTGTGCTGTCTTGAAGAAAAACTTTTTAAGTAAGAGTTATGTTTATTTACACTCTCATTTTCAAATAAGGAGCCCAATCTAGGAATCAAAGATTTTTTTTTTTTCCTAGCTGTGTCCACTTGGGAGATATTTTCGATAGCTCTCCATCTAAGGTTCTATTTTAGAAATGTGAATACACAATCCAAATAACACCCTGCTGTTCATTAAAAAATAAATCACAGCCAGCTGCTGATCGGCACCCATATCAGGTCTGGCAAAACTTTACATGAGACCTCGGGAAAAAAATAAAAAAACTTCCTCATGCATTGATATGATCTGTAGAATGTATAACACTCACTTAAAGCCATCTGTACCAACGTGAAAATTTAACTCTCTCGGAAGGGAATTAATCAATGCTGGTATTAAAATGAGAGTTCGATGTAGGAGATATAGATTAATACTCTCAAAAATAATCAAAACTAAACAGAAATTCCTAGCAGAGAGATGCCTATTTCCTGATTCTTCAGACGCGATAAGGGTTGTTTTTTTTTTTTCTTTTTTTGGAAAAACAGGACTTCTTACTAAGTGATTATTATACCAGGGCCGTGACGTTTTACTAACACGAATTCATAAGGTGACCCCAGAGATCAACAATAAAACACAATTTTAGAATGGGCTGAAATAGGCAGAAAGCTTCAGCGGCCACGTCATCTAGCCAAATAGCTTCCTCGCCGCTTGGTGGGGATGGCTCCCTGGATGGTCTTGGATCCAGGGCCCCTTTAAGATGAGATGCCATCCATCCTTCTGGTGGCCTGAGATCACGTGGCATTCTTGACGGAGGAGATAGGGTCCCTGCCCTTTCACAACTGTCTTGGTTTTGATGCTGGCTCTCTCAGGCCCCCTCCCAGTTTGTAAAATGGAGGTAAATTAAACCGATTATGAACTAGGCAGGAGTCGAAACACTTTGCCAAATTGGAGTGCCAGCTCCCCGAAGCCATCGCCGGCTGCCTTCCTGAGGTGGGCTGCGGCCGACTGTCTCCTTTAGCTGCCCTTGGCACTCCAGAACGTGTCTGGAAACGGCTTTGCAGATGGCCTCGTAGGTTTTACAGGAAATATTACTTAAACATTGAAAAGGATCACATTTCTCCTGTTAGGAATTACAAATCTGGATTTCATTTTCTCTCTCGCTTTTTTTTCCCCCTCCAAACCCTGGGAAAAAATGTAACTGTTATATATGAGATGCAGGAAGCATTTGGGAATTTTTTTAATATACCCCTAGCACTCACTCATTCCTTCGCTCTTTATATATATTTACACCCATGCATAGAAAACATGTTTGCGTATAGTATATAAATACACACAGACTCACAATCCTGTTCTTTCATTTAAAAGTAAATGTAATTGCACAGAAGCAAGAAACTTGTGAAAATTTAGAGGACTGTCTCTTCTCTTTTTCTTTCCTTTATTTTTTAACCTCCTGGAGCAGAAGAAAAAAATTCATCACTCACTTCACTTGGATAACTAAAACATGAACTGTTTCTCTCTCACACTGGCTTCTCTTTATGCATTTTATTCAGATTTATGAAGATCAGGGGAATTGCTATTGTTGAGAAAATGATTAGCATCAATAAACAATTAACAGTAGCAGGGGAAGTTGGGAAACCGTTGCGTCCCGTGTCTCGGGCCTTTTCCATGCTCCTTGTGATGGCAAATGGGAGAATCCTGAAACCAACGTTCCTTGGGGAAAGGCGGGTCCCCTGTCTTTATTAAACGCCCACTTGGCAATTTTAGAAAACGTTTCCCCAGAAGGGAGTTTCACCGGCACAGTTGGAACTCCAGCTGAACTCTGAATGTGGTCAGGAACACAGGGACGGCTGGGAAGGCTGGTCTCTGCCCCTTGAGCGTGGAGGGGACTCTGGAGGTCCGGCCCCCACCGGCCAAGCTGCAGGTGGCCTCAGAGGGACCCAGCCGGGCTGAGATCAGGGCGCCCCATCACCCGCACTGGGACATCTGCTGCTCTAGTCTGCATTTTAATATTTCTCTCATGAGCCCAGGCAGGGTGAGAGGTATCCAACCGGGCAGGGATGTGGTGCCGTCAACACAGGTCAAGGGGCATCTGCATAGCAGCCAGGCCCTGCGCCAGCTGGGAACACGGTGCTGGAGGAGGACAGGGTCGAGGTCACCATTCTCTTAGACGTGTATCGCTTCCGTGGAGCGTCAAGGGCATGGCTCCAGCGATGCCGGGCACCAATGCCGTGGTGCCTGGGTCTGCAGGGTGTTTGCATCCCCCAGCTGGAGGGGTTTCTCTCTGGGTGGAAAACACAGTAAAGGAGGTCCCAGGCAGCATCCAGTGATGTCCGGCTGCCCGAGCTCTGGCCTCTCATTCTGTGGGACCTGGAGACGGCTTCTCGGGCCCCAGCGCAGGCCTGCCAGCCCCTATCCGGCCACTGCCCGGCTCCACCGCCCCACACCTCGGGGCGCAGACGCCTCTCCTGCCATCTGGAATCGCCTCGCTGTGTCTCCACCTCATTAACTCCCCATCTCATTTCATACTTGCTCGGAATGTCTCTGCTCTCCTCGGTCTCTCTTGCACCGCGGCCTGAAATACCTGTCCATCTCAGAACATGTACCGTCCTGGGTGGGCCCACGGGATCTCAGAGCCCAGAAGTGCTGGGGGGCCCAGGACCTGGGAGCTGGCCCAGGTGGGACATCGGGGGGGGGGTGCTCCCCCACGCTGTTGCCCCTGCCTTTCCCTCTGCACACGGGCTTCCTCTGCCCAGGGGGACAGGTGGGGGCCAGGAGGGACCCCAGCAGAGCCCTGGCTGGCAGCCGACAGCACGGTCCGGCAGCTGCAGGGGAGGGTGGACAGCCCCCCTGGAGGGGGTGGGCATCGCTTCGGCTGTGGGAAGCCCCTCCCAGCCCCCACTCCCTGCCTGTTAGGGAGACAGATGGTGAGCCCAGTGACATCCTCAGAGCGAGCTCCCGAGGGCAGGGACCACTCCTGCGCCAGCCTGGCTCTCGGTGGAGATGTGACAGTAATCAGAAGGAGGAGAAGAGACGCTTGGCCTGTGGGCCCCGGGGGCAGAAGAGGGGGCAGGCACAGGCCTGGATGGGGGGCCGGGAAGCCGAGTCAGCGGCCAGGCCCTGGGGTTGCGCTGCCTGGGCCGGCGGTCCTCTCTCTGGAAACCCTTGCCTTGCCAACATGGGTAAGCTGCCCCATCTAGAATCAAGCAGCACAGACCCTACAAGTGGGGAGAAGCAATGCTTCGTGGGGCCCTCGGCCAGGCCTGGGGAGGGCACAGGACAGTAAGGTCACCTGAACGGCCTGGAGGCGCCCCCAGGCCCACCCTGCACAGACCAAGTTGCTGCTGCTCCAAACCCCGTCTCAGAGCAGACCCCCTGGACACCTCCCGGGGCTGCAGGGTGCCTGACCTACCTCGCAGCGCACCCCAGTCCCCTGAGAGCAGACCCCACGCAGTGCTGACAGTCCCTCTCCAAGGACACGGCCAAAGGGAGGGTCGCTGTGCCTGCGGCTCCACCTTCTGGGAAGCTCCGTGCCCAGGGGAGAGAAACCGACAGCTTTAGGAAGGCAGGTCCCAAGGCAATTAGAGGGTTGAGTGAAAGATCACTGTTAGGAGTGAAATTTTGGGGACTTTTTAATAGAAAGGTGAAATAGTCGCAATAATCCCACTCATGCAATATCTTAAAGATGGGTTTACTCACACTTGAAAATGCTTGATTTGGGGACATGGGCTATCTCTATACCTAAACTTGACATATGCTAATCGGAAAAACTCAAAAAACCACCATGCAGATGGGAATTGCCATTGTATGTATTATTAATAAACATATATGCATGTATTTTATATATATACATGGAACATGCTAAATGCTAAATAAATGTTTCTTGAATGAATGAATAAAAGGGAATGAACAGCTGCCTGTAAAGCTGTCAGACTGGATTTAATGCCATGGCGTCACTCTTTTATGTTAATTTTCCTACTTGCATGACAAACACAAACAGTCATTCACTCCTTTTCCTTGTCCTTCTGTTCTCCTGAAGGTCTCTTTGGAACTCACGGATGTGTTTTGTTTTATAAGTTCATGACATTCTCATGGAACGAAGGCAGGGCCAGGCTGGGTTCTTCCCAGAGCGAGGCTCTGCCTGATGGGGTGCGGAGACCCAGGAGGGAGCAGGTCCACCCCTCCTCCGCTCTCTCATGCAGCAACTCTTCACCTAGGAGAGACAGCAGCAGAGTGAGCGCAGGGCGGACCCCACCACTACTTTGGACACCCTTGATTTTTGTCTGTGCCGCGACCTCAGCTTTGCTTCTGTAGCTTAATTGTGAATCCATGGAGGAGCACTGAAGTTGGACTAAAAACTAGAGCTAGCTCAGAGGCATTCTTGGAAAGAGGCTGGTCTGAAACCTACGTGAACGGGTCCTGGAGTCCCCCACCCCTGGCAGTAGCTGTCCAGCCCCTAAGCGACGTCATCACACAAATTCAGGGTCAGCCAGAGGGTCTTCATAGCTGTAGCAGAATATTTCCATCCTGAAAGCAGAAATCCACCCCCACCCTGCTGGTGGAAATGTCTCTTAATGCTACAAACACAGTGGATGCTCCCCCAAGAAGAGGCAGAAGACTGACTCGGAGCAGTCCTGCTCCGACTGGAAAGGAGAAAGAAGCCCAGCACCCTCTCCCAGGAGAGGGGAGGCCCAGGGACCCCCAGCCCTTCCAGTGGTGTCTGTCATGCTGGGGTCTGATTGCATGAATAACACACACTTTACATGAGGCCGGTAAGACTCAGTTGCTCCTGGATGTGGCCAGGAGGTGTAATGGAGACAGAGATCAGAATGTGAGCAGAGCCAGAATCAGAACCAGCCTGTGCTCCTGTGTGCCCAGGAAGGACGGAGCCTTGTCCCAGCCTTCTAGATCATTTTTTGTTGTTCATTCCAGCAGGTCGCATGCCCAGCTCCGAGATCCTTGTTTTAAGCACAGAGTGCTTGTAAAGTTTCTAACCACAAGGTAGGGCTTCCCTGGCGGCTCAGATGGTGAAGAATCTGCCTGTAACTCAGGAAACCCAGGTTTGATCCCTGGGTCCAGAAGATCCCCTGGAGAAGGGCATGGCTACCCACTCCAGTAATCTTGCCTGGAGAATCCCATAGACAGAGGAGCCTGGCGGGCTACAGTCGATGGGGTCACGGAGAATCAGGCACCACTGAGCAGCTAATGTTAGCACAACCACAAGGTAAGGCCCGTGTGTGTCCCTGCTCTTCCTTCTCCCAGGCACTCCGGGGGTCAGAGATGGGAGCGGACTCAACTCCTCCAGCCCCGTTTGCCCTTGGGGAGCGCAGCGCATGGCTCAGCTCACTCTGTTCCCCGGAGGCAGGGGGAGGACCCGGCTGGGCGTCACGGGCAGCCCGTTCCAAAACGCTGAGTCTGTGCCTTCAGGAAGCACCTTTTCCTCTGCTGGGCTCGGCGTGTCCTCTGGACGGGACAGGATTTTCCTGGAGGTGGCAGCTCTGTTCTGCTCTGGGCCCTGGGCTGCTCGCCTCCAGATGGTCTGAGGCTGTAGCTGTGAAGAAAGAATTCCTCCATAAAGACTGAGGAAGGCATTCAGAGCATGGGTCGTTACGGGGTCTTTTGCAGGTGACAAATTCATGAGGTTTGTCTAGACTTCTGGCTAATGCATACCCCCTCCCCCGCTGCCCAGAGGCATCCTGGTGGGTGCAGGGGGTCGGGGCGGGGGAGGGGGATGGTGGGAGGGAACCGTCCACAGAGGCAGCAAGGGTAAAACCCAGCAAGGACTCAGCCAAGCTCCCTGGGCAGCAGCGCTTAGAGCGTAGATGAGATTTTGTCTGAAATGTTCATGTTATGTGAAAGGAGGCCTCAGCATTAGATTGAAAAGGACTTCCCTTCACTCTGAAGAAAGCTTGCCTCCCTGAGAACAAACAGTTAATGGAGGGTTTGATCAACATCAGTATTTCCCCGCAAGTGGTGAGATGGGAAAATTCCACAATATAAAATAATGTATTGAAAAGAATGCGAACACTAGTATCCACCGTAGCGTGTTTGTCTTTGGGAAGACAAAAAGAAAAAAATATCTATTTTGGTTTTGTCATTTTTACATCCTTCCCCAGCTCCCCGAGTTCTTTCAAATACAAAAAATAAAGCAAACATGCTAATCTGCCTCATTCATAATAATAGGCTGAAATCGCAGAATATTCTCTAATAATGATCATTAGCTCCTCTGTGGTTTTTGTCACTCAGATATGAAGGTGGGACTGGGATTACCGGGGCTTTACCATTTTTAAATAAGCCAAGCAAATTTGAAAAAAAGAAAATAATTGTTTTAATCTGAGTAAGCCTACCCACCATCGCAGGTGCAACAAGGGGAGATGGGCAGGGCGGGGAGGTGGGCAGGGCGAGGGGGTGGGCAGCAAGCGGGCAGGCCTCTTGGCCGGCCTGCCTTTGTGTTCACGACAGGCTCCAGGTACCGGCTCTGGCTGGCCCCGCGGGCTGCCTCGCAGAGTGCCTACCTGGGGGGCGCGGGCAGAGAGGGGGCACCACCCTGGACAGCTTGGGGAAGGAACACTGTCCCTCCCACTTGTCCCCGACAGGACAGCCGGCCTCTGCGGCGTCCCCAGACTTTCTCTGTGCCCACCAGGGCCCCGTCCTCCGGCTTCCTGTGGAAGAATGCAGCCGGCGTGGCCCCTCCCGCCCGCGCTCCGCTAGAGCCTGGCACGGGCTGCGCTCAGCTGGGACTCTGCTAAGGATCTCTTGCCGTCCTGGGTAAACACAGCTTCACCTGCCCTCCAAATCCTCTCTCCTCCTCCTTCTCCCCGCCCCTCCCCGCTGAGCTATGTTAATCAGGTGGGGGACACAAGGTAACATTGAAGTAATTCAGCCAATTAGGCCCTGAATTGTTTGCATCCAACAGCATTTTGTATTTCTGCAAATGTGTGAAATGCAAAATGTGCCCTCCAGCAAAAAACGACAGCAGCCGTGTACTGGCGGCATGTCAACAGACCCTGGGAGCGGGCGGCCCTGACGGCTGATAGCGACGCATGCATATGCTGGGGAGCCTGGCCGTCTTTATGTGCGCGCCTCTCGGCGAGGGGCGGCGGAGCTGGGGGTCTTGGTGGCAGATGGGCAGGGGTAACAGGGATTGGCTAATCCCAGATCTGCATTCTCTCCTCCACGTAGCGACGAGGGAAAGATGGGGCCAGCTGTCAAATGGAAGACTTTCATGGTCCCTTGCACACAACAGCTGCACACGCCCTGCCTGCTTGGTTCTAAATTATTAAACATCTTTTTAGTTTGTTCCAGCTGCAGGCATCAGTGTGTTTATGCAGCCTTTGTGCATTTTACATATGATTCCTTCTCCCCTCCTCTCATCAAAATGCTGTTTGTAAAAGTCATTATCCCATCTGTGCCCCAGTTTGGCCAAACAGCCGAAGACAAATCCGATGCCTTTCTCCTTCCAGGACAATTTGGGAGTTGAAGCTGACGGCTGTGACTCGAGACTTGGGGGCTTCGCCGCGCACTCTCTCTCTCTGCCACCTGTAAGAGGTGGTGCCGTCTCGGCAGCTTAAGGGCACGAGGCACCGCGGGGTCTCTGCCAGGAAGATTTCATTGTCGGAAGATTTCATTGTCGCGCATTTACGGCTTGAGAGCAAACACACGGGCGGGGGTGGGGGGGAACAAAACTCGGATCCCCCACTTCTGCGGGCCTCGGAGGTCTCCAGAAGGATTGGTGATGGGGAGTCCTCTCTAAATCATGGCTCCCAGGGCAGCTCCGGTCCGGAAAGATTTCAGCAGCAATCCAACTGTTACGTTTATGTTCCATCAACATGAATATTCGCGAGCAGGTATAATGTGCCCCTGTTTCCAGGGGCTTCTCTGGCAGAGAAGTTACAGGATCTGGCCTCCTGGACACGGGGGAACCTTCTTGGGGGAGAGAATGTGAGAAACATGCCCCCGGCTGTACGCACACAGCCTGAGCTGATGTGTTCATTACATCCACGAACCCAGGAAGGATTTGTTGTAAGTGGCTGCTTCCTGCAGGATACGGAGGTGGCGGCCAGGGCCGGCATGAAACAGTCACCAGCAACAGTTGCTTTGTCTGTGGCCAAGATGAAAACTCCTTTGTCCAAAGCTTGTCGCGATCTCCTGCTCGCAGGTCTGGGGCCGGTTTGGTGGCTCTGTGCCCCTCTTGCCTCCAGCAGCCCGGAGCCTCTGATGCTGGCACAGAGGCCCCAGCGCCCGGCCATGGGGCAGCGTCCTCCCTGGCCCCTCACCCACCTGCAGCATCCCTCCCTGGCCCTGCTGCTGGTTTATTTTTAATGTGACGACACATGCTTCCAAGGGGTTTCATAACAGCATCTGAATATTTTATTTCCCAGAGAGTCTCTATCAGTAATTACTCACAGCCCTGCCTCCCCGGTGAGGCCCTGGGTACAACCAGCAAAGTGCCCCGTGTGGCTTCCCCCCCGGGCTGAGAGGTGGCTTCCCCAGAGCCTCCCAATTGATAGCATACACACCGTAAATTGGGGTGTGGGGGAGAGACACGCCGGGCACTGGAATCCTCCGGAACTCAGGCCGGGCTTGCTAAGGAGAGGCCAGAGTGTTAGAGTGGGAACACCACTGTCCACCAAGGGCAGGACCATCCCTCTGAGCCGGGAGATGGAGAGGGTGACCATGGCAACCACCGAGATGCAGTTATTGGCAGGATGGCAAACAGGGGATTTCAGGATTTCCAAGAGTCCCCTGAAATGCCATCCCTCTCTCTCTTCAGAAAACACCCCCACTGCCAAGGGTGGCTCAGAGGTACCACTTTCGAGATCGCTTAGCAAAATCACCCTTTCCTTGGAAGAGAGGAACAGTGGGATACCTGAGCCTTTGTGAGTGCTTAGTTAGCGTTTTCTGATCTTTAAAGGCAAGTTGCCCTGTGGCCCTTCTGCCGGACAGGTCTGCCTTCCCAGGACCGAACCACCTTACTACGAGACTGTCACATGTTGCCCAGCGGGGTCGGAGTTTGCTCAGAAAGTGAAGCCCTGAGCATGTATCCAGCTTCGCTTCCTTTATCTGCAGCTGGTTGTCCTGTCTCCAAGGACCACAAGGAAACCAAAATTTCCGGACAGTGTTCCCTTCAGCTTCGGCTCGTCTGGGAGACAGTTCCTGCCCTCTACGAGGAGGCGTGTGATGAGGCAGCCCACCACCTCCACACGGCCCGGGCCCCCTGTCCCCAGGGCTGAGGGCCAGGAAGAATGGGCTTCACATACGACAAATGACTCTTTTGTTTTACTCCATTTTTAATTAGCCTCCTTTTTAATGACCTAAGTTAATAAGTGTCAAAAGGTGCAAAGCACAGCGTGGCTTTATTTTTAAAGTAGGAATTCGCCTTTAATCTCTGAGGCCCCGAGTGAGTCTCAGCTGCAAGGGTGCAACTCTGAGGGGCTTTGTCATCTCAGGCCCGAGGTCCCTGGGCGCTCGGCCTGGCACCCAGCGGGCGGCCGGGGGCCACTGGGGTGGGGCAGGCACCTCAGAGCATCTGGGCATGATCCAGCACAAGCGCCCGCATGCCTCACGCCCTGGAAACACCCCCTTCCCTGGTCCTCCAACAGCCCCAAAATAAATGGGGGCATTATTCTTGAAGCTGCCGTATTGGACAGCAGGCCACAGCTGAGGGGCTGCAGGCTGCTCCGGCACCGGCACAGCTCATGGCTGCAGAGTGATGGGCCAGGTCCCCGCGGCAGAGCGGGCCTCCCCTCCGAGATTGCCTTTCTTTCCTCTCCGTGACCACCCCTCTCCTTTCCTCCTTTGCTTCCTCCTCCAGCCACAGGGCGCCGATGGGACTCAGAACCATGCAGGGCCACCTCACAGTGGAGACAAGAGGGCGACCTCAGTTTCTAGGACTCCGCTGGGGTGCCTGCCAGGGTACGAGAGCTGTAGGAGTGTGTGTGCCTTCTGTGTGTGTGTGTGTCTGCATCTGCACGTTCCCAGCCCTGGGTTCTGGTGGAGCCCTGAAGACATGCTCTACTTTGCATACACAAGAGCCCCACTCCATTAGGCTTCTGCAGCAAAAAGCTACCACCGAGAGGAAGAAACGTCCCCGGTGCCCGACGGAGCTGAGATTCACTTTGCTTTTGCTTGGTCTCCGATTGATGCCACAGGTGCGGCAGAGGCAGCTGCTATTACAGGCTGCCCAGGGCACCGCCCCAGGGAGGAAAGTGCTGTTAATTTTGTGGCATTTTACAGCATGCATGGATCCTCCCCAAAGGCCAGACTCCAACCACAGTGCTCGTGTTTGTTTATGATCAGAGGGAATAAACAGGAAGGGTCAAGGCGAAGAGTAGACACTGAGGGCGAAACCACCAAACCACTTCATGAAATGCATCATCCATCACACGAGCCCGCATTTGACACTGCCTTCCTCTCCTGCTGCAACCAAGCACACGGACGCTACACGCTGGACCCGGGTCTACACTGGCATGGCTCTTCCATCCCTCAAGAGGTTCATGTGAAAACCTCAAGGTCCCCAAGGAAATGCGTTTCGGGGCCTGGGCTGAACGGGCGAGCTGACTCCAGGGGTCATTTGTGATGACAGAGCAGAAGAGCAAGGCTCTACCTCCAAGGACTTTCTGGCAACTTCCCAGATCTTTAGGAAGTGCTGGACTCCATCCTAATTTTCAACTAAAAAGACAGGATGAGCACAAGTTTCGAATGGCCCATAGGAATCCACTGTGATGGTTAAGGACAGATGAATTAAAATGCATTTCTAAACATAGAGACACAAATAAAAACAGGTTTGGGGCTCGCGTTTGTTTGTACAGGTAATTTCCATAAAAATTAATATTCCTGACTTTACTGGAACTAAATAATTAAGAAAGAAAGTATATTACAATAATAAAATTATCAACAGAGTTTTGACAAGCAGTCATGTGCTTGTAAATGAAATTTATTTAGGTGCCACTCAAAACACTGTAATTAAGAGGTACAGAATGCATTACCAGATGGTTCCTGTTTAGTATCTATTTCCTTTAGAGAACAAGGGGATTAGCATGAGCACTAACTAGCCCCCGAAATACCCTGTCACCCCTAGCCGCCGAAACAGCACCCCTACATAACATTTCTGTGCTGACAGTCTGTGTTGTGAAAACTGGTTGCTAAACATATGTGTAACATACATGTCAGCAATTACTGCTTAAAAATAAACAAAAGGAGAGATGACGAATGTGCACGTCAGAATATTAGAACTAGAAATTAAGAAATAAGTTAATAAAACGCATCCTCGTACAGTGGTTAACTTACCCCACTGCTCCATGGAGTCCCTGCGCGCTGTAATTTAGACACATGAGACATGAGACAGGCCATGACACCATAACCTCCTGGTTCCTTTTCTCCGGTGACAGTGGCTAGCTTATTTCCTGGAATTCCTGTTCTAAAATTAGCCACAGGCTCCATGGAGTAGACCCTCAGAAGGGTAAGAAAGGAGAGTCAGAGGAATATAAATTCATCTTTGACCACAGAGCTTCTCTCAGTCTCAAAGATACTGAATGAGTCACCCAAGGTCACAGAGAAGTTCGTTAGTACATTGGTTTGCTGGAGCCGCCTTGACAAAGAACCATAGACCGGTCAGCTTAAACAATAGAAATTTACTTCTCCGTAGTTTCGGAGACCAGAA